CTGCAATTACTGCTGCGCAACAACTTTTTCACTCTCTTAAACACATTATCACAGAGGCAAAAAACGCTGTCGCTGATTGGCTCGGCCTTGGCCAGCGGCAGGTCTGTCTTAAAGCCGGCTGGCATTGGCTATATCTGACATAGAGGAAACTTCTAGCAACTTCATACAGAAGCCACCTCTGTACCCCCCCACCCCACCCCCCGCTACCAAAACCTTGCCACACAGACCCATTACATTGACACTTCAATATATTGCATTCTTTGAAGGAAATTTGCTATTTCATGAGAGAAAAGATGTTCTCCTTCCTATTTAAAGATATCTGTTGATTCACCTCTATTGAATAAAAGCACCACTATAAAACCCTGAGTTATACAGTCAACATATAATTAGATTTTTGCTCGGTGTGTTGTATTCCCAACAAAATACAAAGGCAAGCTCTTTTTTAGAGGGCTCATAATGGAGATTCTGGTTTACACATCAAAAGTAAGGATGTTTTGTTTTCTTGCTCAGAAATGTCCTGGTCAGAACTGACTTTCTGTCACTTTTCATAAATGGACCCTTGATGCTAAAGGTTTCCTCGCCATCTATTGCCGGAGTTTTCCAGCTGCATTGTGATGGGGTTGAGTGTAAATCCGGTAGGCAGGATTACATCCGCCAAGGGAGTGTGTTGCATGTCTGGAGATGACGCTAGCCAAATTGCCTTATGTGTTCCTGATAACGGTAACATTAAAAGGGTTGATCAAGAGGGCATGTTTGGAGTGAAGGAAGATAAACAATGTGCTGTAATGTATAATTTAGATATGTTTTAGAGGGGCTGGATCTGTTTGGAAAAAACAAGTGATAAATAGATATGCTACTTTTCATATCTATTGGGACAGCTATGTATGTACTATTTAAATGATTACAACTGTAGTTGTCTGCTCTCATCTAAAAGTAAATCAACAGTAGGCTTTTTCCATTTCTTCCCCAGCAAATTCCTTGTACTGAGCTGTCACAGAGGATCCTGGTACAGTTCTTGTTTCTTCCTCTTGTGGCAGCCTTTGGGAATACTTCACATCCCACCACGACGAAACTCTGGGTGATAAAAATATAAGTGTTGCTTAACAGGGTTCTGCTATTAAAACAGATGTTGAACTGAACAATATTGCTTAGTGTTAGAGACTTGCAGGAGAGGATAGGTTTGCATTTAATTTGAGCAAAAAAAATGAGAATAGAAGCTGTATAGATTTTTAGGGCTGTTTTGGCCAGTTTAAGAATGTTGTATATTCTGACAATAAATAAGCCTTCATAACTATAATTCGGGACATCTAAATAAGGCATGCGGTACGTGTAGTGCAGTGTTTAAATAACTGAGGTGTGAGAAGCCAAGTTTTTGGCCTCAGCTCGTTAACAGCCTCTACAGATTGTACAGAATTAAAAGAAAATGTGTCACTAAGAGAAATCAGACTGTTGCAGGCTTCTAGG